AACCACAGCCATCATGCATAAATTTTGTTACTTTTTGAACCAGTTCATCGTTATTTTCTCTTTCTCCTAGATCCGTCATTGTGTTGTGATGATAGTTCATTAGTTTTAAAAATGAAAAAGACCAGTATTCTGTGGTATTCTAACTGTTGCGTATTGCTATGGAGATGTAAACTGTAAAAACGCTGTTACTAAGCAAGAGAATGATCTATGAATATGTAATGTGCATTGCATGACAATGATGGGACATGGGGACATGTTAACATGGTGAAAGAAACCACGTGATCATTCTTTTGACTGTCTCGAACTTACGCGAGGTCCCTGTGGTACTTGACGATGTCGATGGCTCTCGATAGTGGAAACTCAAGGATTTGGCCTTTAGAAGATTTATATTTTTATTTTTAAAGTTAGTTGTTTCCAAAAGAAACCTTAAACACAAAGATGAATTCAAAATTCTGCAGTTCGAATTGCTTCTCGCTTCACGTGGCCGCGCTCATACCCGCATACACGGCAAACTCCACTGAAGTGTGCGCAGAGAATCAGCCCACATTACTCTACCACAGAAAGGAACCAGGCAGTTACTATGAGTTCACATCCACCATGGTAAAGCCTTACACCTCCACCCAAAACTTTGTATATTGCAGTGACAGAGAGAAAGCTCTTTTCAAGGGCTTTGGAACACCTATGTCTTTCGTGTTAAGCGAATGGTACACGGTTCAATAGCTGTTGAGGAACAAATGTTGCAGCTGCTGTTTAACAAATATTGAACAGTGTATCATGTGATGCTGAACGTTGAAATATGCTGTTCAACATGCTGAAAGTTGTTGAACATACGTCGCTTTCAGAGGGCTCTGAGAGGAAATTAACTTGGTGACCGCACATTATTAACTTCGTGTGTAGTCGGTCATTAGAACTCCTGTTAATACTTAACGGCATCAACAGACATAGACTTACCTCATAGACTTTGGAACCAAAACATGATGCATAGTAAAAGGTGATGAAAGATTTATGTGAGCATTAGACATTTTTAAGATGTGTTGGTCACAAACTCATGGTTTTTAGAAGAACGGGGTTATTGTTTTATAATTTGAGCCACACATACGTCCTCTGTATTTGGTGCTTTATTGCGGCATGGCGGACACACGTTTGTCAAAGAAAGGAAGTTTATTATGACATTATTGACTCCTCTGAGTTTTCTAGTAATAAAGAACCATTTGTAGAAGTAGGTTAACATCTAGTGAACATCATTTCAAGCTTACATTTTTATGAGGAATTTGTTTACGCAAGTTACAGTCACTTTTAATATCGCTTTGTAATCTGTTTGATTTCAATATGGTTGCCTCAACTCCTGGTCAAGTGGAACATAATCAAACTTTAGAAAGACTTTGCCATATATGTGCAGGTTTTCTAACTAAATTTAACGATCCTTACGATACCAGCCATTCGTGTACTGAAAAAATGGAGTTCCTTACACAAAATTATGGAATAAATGTTGCAAAGGATGACCCTGAAATACATCCCACTTGATTCTGCCACCTCTGTTACCTCTACCCAACCCGAATACAAGGACCTGTCTTTTGGCATATTCACACAGAAAGTGACTGTTACATGCAGTTTCATTGAGGAAAAAAAGAAAGGAGGCAGACCAAAAAAACTTAAACAGGGTAGGAAAAATTTTAAATCTATGGAGGAAACAGGACAAACTGAGAAAACACTGCAACACATCCAAGATACTGCACACACTGTGACAAGAAAAGTTGAAGAGTTGGAAATGGAAAGTCCGCTTACCTGTTGGATTGAAGAGGACCAGAAATTTCAATTTACCCAGGAAATCAGAGAAGACCTCAAATGCCCAATTTGCAAGGATATCCTCCTTAAGCCTTTGGAGACATTGAGTGAACATTATTTCCGTGGGGAATGTTTTAAACAGGCCCTTCAATCTTATGGTTTTCCCCTAGACTTCCCTGTATGCAGGACTCAACTTAACCTAGCTGACTACATAAAAAAGCCCTCACGAATGGTACTGAAGGTTATAGCAGAACAAAGTCAAATGTAATCGTCTTCTCTGTGAGTTAACCTATGAAGACCACAGAAACCATTTGTGCTGGGCAAGAGCTGCCCAAGCTGATACTGCAGCTAGTACAGCAGCTGATCTCCCTTCGGTCACTTTGGGGCAAGCTATCGCACAGCTTTGTCGGGGAGAGATCCCTCCATGAATGGAGCAGATTGGGACTGTTTATTAAGTCCAAAATGAAGTCATCAGCTGATGGAAAAACAGCCATGCTTAAAACAGGTGGAAAGGTAAGTATGAATTATATAAAATAATAGTGTTAATTCTTACTTTTGCCATTATTTTTAAAAGTCTATAAGGGTAGTTGCAGTGCCATAACCACAAAAGGCCAGTGATGAGGTGAGACAGTGCCATGTTAGAAACTAGACAAGGACCCTTCAAGAAGTGGGAACAGTTGTGAGTAAGGGAAAGTCTACCCTCCATCTCCTTCAGCAAGTGCGAGGCCAGAAAATAAAGTGCCAGCAACTTCTTAAGGAGGCACTGGGGAAGGCCTTGGTTCTGGAAGTCCCAGAGGGTGAGGCCCTGGCAATGAAGGGTGACATTGGACTACCATGGTTTTGACTGAATAATCTGCGCAGGTACTAATATTACAAATGGATATATGTCTGGATTTATGAAAACGGTGTTAAAGACTGAATCAAGTGTTTTTTGATTTAGTAGTTTTTTTTCATTTTTTTTCTGTTTTCGCTATGACAGCAACTTGTAAATCTTACCTAGCATGGAATGTAGAAACTCCCTGCCGCATGTTTCATTTATTTAGGTATTTTTTTTCATCATTTATCGGCCACCCCCTTTTCAATTTGCGTGAATTTTAGCCCAGGCTACACTCGTCTGAATTCAGTTCGCGCAGTGACTCTGACAAGGAGCGACCGATTAGCGTTCTGTATTTGCTGTCTAAAGGAAGTCTGCCCGAGGACATCATTAAGTCCAATGAAGGCCCAAG